GTTTTGACTCGATATTAATCCTTTGATTGTTTCGGAACAGACTTAAATTCTATATCTACATAGTAATACATTAATGCATATCAGTATACTAATTAATATATGCTAAACTATCACTTCTTAGTCTAAAAGAAAGGATAAATTTATCTTTAATGAGGGTATGCATCGATGCACTCTATAGTGTATCAATGTATTCTTTAACGGGTGCATCGATGCACTACTTATGCATTGGTGCACGAATCACATTCGATGTTTTTATTCAATGGGGTGCATCGATGCACTACTTATGCATCGATGCACTAATGGCATTCGATGTTTTTATTTTATCAGAGTGCATCGATGCATATTGAATGTGCATCGATGCACATAGCCTAGAATTGTTATTTTAATCACAAAATTCATCCCTTTTTCTCCCCAATTCTTCTTATTTCACTTCCTTAAATGTTTCTAACTTGCATACATATACTTACACTCATTACTACTCAATAATCACTTCTTTAAACTTAAAATCCAAACCTCCACATAGAATTCAAGAATTTCACCTCAATTCCAACATGTTCAAAATCTAATTTCAACACTTTGTATCCTTTAATTAGATAGATGACAAGTCAAATTCAACTTTTTATTCCAATTATGAACTCTATTTCGAAACTTCATTCATAAACTCCAAATCTTTAAATCCTCCTACACTCTTCATTTTGTTATTTTGAAGCAAATTAAGCTTTCCTTAATCTTACTTATCACCTAATAGTCAAAACCCAACTTAAATTTCAGCACATATCAGCTTAAAAGAAATCTCACCTTTGCTTAGCTTCACACGTGAAGAACAAGAAGAGAAATGAAGAGAACTCTGGAAGCTTGTGTTTTTTTCTTCCTTCTTCCACGTGTAACTAATATAAATATAAGAAATCTTAATTATTTTCCCTTACAAATGACCATTCTATCCTTGAATTTCATTTTCCTTGCAATTCAACCCTATACAAAATTTAACACTATTCAATCATTCTATTTTAATCACCACATTCTGAAGTTTTATAATTTAGTCACTAACCCGGTATTGAGGCTGTTACAGTCCGAATAAAAGATAGCCTCATGTTTCGAAAAATCAACCTCTAAACCATCCTTTTGATCATCTATCAATTTAACGAAATTTAGATTAATTTCGTCCACCTCCAGAGTTGATTTTGCATTATAGTTGAGCTTGAAATAATCTGATATAGTAGCTCTAATCTGGCTCGGATCAGTAATCTCTTCACCCGCCACTTTCAAGGTCGAAATGGCATTTACTCTGTTCCTATTCAGGGCACATAAGTGAAAGAATCTGGTATTTCTATCCCCATCCTTTATCCACTTCAGTCTTGACTTCTGAAGCCATATACTTTCCTCCTTCCTATGCAAATTCCACAATTCATTCCTCCAACGCATGAGTTGCTCCATGTCATGTACAAAAATACCCCCACCTTGAGACCTCAATTCCAAATTATTTATCCTGGTTTCCACATCAAAAATCTTCTCGGAAAACCCCTTCTGATTAATGTTTGGCCAGTTTTTAATCGATTTCTTTATATCTTGAAGTAGGCTAAGTAAACCCCTTCGACCATTCTCCATCTTCAAATTAGCAACAGAATTCTGTATCACCCCAGCAAACCCATCTTCCTCTAGCAAGTAGTTAAAAAACCGAAAAGGTTTAGGACCCCAGTCTTTGAATTCTTCTTCAAGCAACAAAGGGTTATGGTCGGATAGGGATTTTGTTAGCAATTTTTGAATTACTTTTGGAGAGTTCTGAAAGAAATTGTCACTTAATAAAAACCGATCTAGTCTTATCCAAGTGGAAGATTCCCTATTATTTCACCAAGTAAACCTCCCTCCAACTAATGGTAGCTCCATAAAATTTAAGCTTTGGACAAAAGCGTTAAAAATATCCAAAGAATGCCAATTCTGAGCCACTCTGATTTTCTCCTCTGGATCTAGGTAAGTGTTAAAATCCCCCCTAAGCATACTGGAAGTTCTAAAGATTGCACAAAACTACTCAGCTCTCTGAAGAAATCCTCCTTATCAACCTCTACAGCCGGACCATACACGTTAATAATAACATAGTTAAAATTAGTCGCCTTAAACTTCCCTGATAAAGCAATAAATCTGCTATGAAAATGTTCCCTACTGACTTCAAAAAAAATTCATTCCACAAACAGATTAAGCCCCCTGCAGATCCAACAGTTGGCTTCCAGCTTATACCTTTTAGCCAAATACCCCCCAACTTCCTCCATAATCCATTCTGGAACTTATTCAGTTTAGTTTCCTGTAGAAGCAGAATGATTGGTTTAACTCTGCTAACTAATCTTGCAACAGCTCAGATTTTTTCTTTTTTCCCAAGTACCCTAACATTCCAGGTAATCATTTTAAATTGTGACATTAAAGAGACAATCAGAAAAACCTTAAACAACTGACAACAACACTCAAGAACCCCTTGAATCCCCTTTCAACTCCATCTTCATGATCACTTCTTCCAAAACATGTTGCCCCTCTTTAAAAGAGATCCCTAACATGTCACAAACCTCTCTGGTAGCAGCTACCTCAATTCTTTCCTTAACAGAAGGGTATGAATACTCAGAAGTTACACTGTATTTATCCAAAGAATCCCTAACCAAACTCCTATATACCCTTCTATAGACTCTATCGTGAAAACTAATAGAAACTTCACCCTCCGAGCCAACACTACCGGAACGAGTGGGGGCAATCCTTAACTTTCTTTGATTCGCTGTAGAAAACAGACTGTAGAAAGAAAACATACTGTATTGTAGAAAACATACTGTAGGAAACAGACAAGTCTGTTATTTTATTCTTGCATACTTTCAGTAAAAACATATTTCATATTTATATACAAATTATGCCTCTAAACTAGGAAACTCTAAGTTAGAAAAGATATTAATCCTGGGAGATGTAATCCCTTGAAATAAGGGATTGAAAAAAAGAAAATAATTACAGAATCTCTTGACAGCTCATTTTTATAATTTCTACATTCGCATTATTCCTTGGGCGAGAAAGAAATTGAATCGAGTTTTTAAAACTAATCCCCTTATTTCCCCCTGTTTTCCATTTTCCATCCAAAGTTAATAACGAGCATATCCCACCCTGATTCCTATCTAACTCTCTTACACTCGAACTCAGAACATTACTGGCGTTGAGGTTCAACTGAGGAACATCTTCTACCAACTTTATCGTCTTTGAGTACGCCTTTTGTTCAACAGAATATTTCCCCCACTCTTGCTTTCCAGTAATTACATTACTGAAAACATGAACCCCATCGCCACTTCTCTGCCCAACATACTGCCACTGGTTCATAACATCAGCCAGTTCAGCTTGAAACTCTTCATTCGTATGAGCCACTCCATTATCGATCGAATACACAATATCCTCCAACAAATTAGATTCCCTCACTCCCATACCCACGTGATTCCCACTTAGAATTTTATTAATCCCACAGACAACTGGCAGCCCACTAATCTCTAACAAATCCATTCTAATATTATGCCCATTATCATGGTCAGCCATTCCATACCCCAAGATGACATCCCCTATGCTTAAGCCTCTTTCTCCCCCTTCAATAAAAAGCTCTGACATATTCTGCTGACCTGTGTCTCCACCTGGAGATGTCTTCTTAGAATAAAAATTAACACCTCCAAAATTATTTAAAACTACTTTCCCACTCACACTCCCCTTGACACGCGTGCCACCCCCATGTGGAGAATCTCGGTCCCATGCTTCTACCCTGTTGTGAGAGTCAGACATCGCCTGAAAACCCATCTGCCCATCCTGACCTTCGATAACCGCCTCTTGACTCCCGTCCGACGAGATGTTCTCCCCAGGATCCACTGATCCTTCCTCATCAACCACATTTTCTAACACCAGGAAAAAATATGCATATCCTTCCACCTTAATTTTAATAGTAAACGACCTTTCATTCGTTTTAATGGTAATATGGGGGTACATAGAACGGACTTTCCACCCTCAACAGCATATGCACCACCCTACAATCCACTCGATTGACTGTTTGCTCCTGAATTTTCACAAGCTTGCCCCATCTCGAAGCCAAACTTGAGAAAAATGAATCTGACCAGTAATTTAATGGGACACCCATCAGAGAAACTGCACAGAACAGTAATGGAACACAATTCTCGTCCAAAACATGCTCCAACCTTTCAAACCAGAATGATAATGCCTCCAACTTTCCTTCCATCGTTACAACCTTCTCCTCGACTGATCGAAAAACTACTAAACATGAGTTTTTTGCATAATCCCATCGTACCACCTTAACATTGATTCCTTCAGTTTTTAAAGCTCTATGCACAAATTTAACATCAAAAATCACCTTACAAATACCTGTTAAGGACAAACTCAGCCATGTCATTTCCTCCATAGGAATGAACACTTCCAGAGGCTTCTTCCTCCCCCTCTTCTCTCTATAATTGCCCACTTTCTGGCCCTCAAATTTATTAACTCCCAATATTGTATCCTTGTAAGACCTACCATCAAAAAACCTGCTCAGCAACTACTTCTTCCCTCCAACACCAACTTGGGATGTTGATCTTTTCCCTATCTGTTCCTTCTCTCCAGTACCAAATCCCCCCAACACGTTATTTCACTTCAAATGCGATGAAATAGTATTCCTCTGGTATTTTGCAATCGACATCGTTACTCTCACCCCATCAATCAAGACAATGTTCATCATTTCCTTTGCATAAAGAAAATCCTCTTTGCTTGCAAAGTGCACAAACGCAAACGTACAATCCTTATAATTGGGTCTCCTATTCACTACCGGAATGAACACCTTAGTCACTTTGCCATGGAAACTAAAACGTTCCCATAAAGCCCTTCTAGGCACTCTCCTACTAAGATTATCCACAAAAGCTACCCAAAAAACTCCTCCAGGCACTGAACTGCCATTACTTGGAGAGACACTACCTTCCGAAAACTCTCTCTGTCTCTCTAGACATTCTTTAACCGTGATGGAAGACTACCTCACCTTTAAACAGTATCGCTATCTTCGGTTGGATGGCCAGACATCTGGGGGTGATCGTGGTGCGCTTATTGATAAGTTTAATCAAAAAGGTTCTCCCTTCTTCATATTTTTTCTTAGGTAATATTTTCTCCTAGCATACAAAAAAAAAGACATAGGAAGGGGAAAAAAGAAGAAAAAGAGAGAAACATCTATGTTGTATGCTTCTGAAGCTCTGGAGGGGAGTAAGGAGGGAAATCCTAGTCTAGAAGTTTATCAAAATTTAGACGTGTTCTTATGATACATCTTATTCTAGTTATATCCTAGGAGGTTATATGTTGTAGGGGTTTAGACATTAAAGGGGATCAGGTATTTGAATTTTGGATGGTTAACATGTAGTAGACATCTTTCGAATATTTCAGTCTATCAAAATTTAGGCATATTATTATCAGATCTTTTTTTTATAATAGAAACTGCATTCCCCTCATTTGGAATATCCTTATTCTCATTAAATATTGGTAAAATAAATAATTAATTAATTGTTTGATAGACTTTTTAATTTGTTTGACTTTTGCATGTGTTTTCAAAGGGTTTTCAAAATAATAATGTTCGATCAGAAACAATAATTAAATATTATTGTGTTCACTCTTAAAATTATTTTGGGTGCTATTATTTTTAAATTTATAATGGAATTTTAATATTTTTTATTTCGATTGGAGTAAGAATCGATTGCTTCAAGGTATGATAGATCAGTTCTTCTCGATAGGAAATAGTTTAATATTATTATTTTTCATCCAAAATTTCTAAAAATGTTATTTTAGGGAATCTTAAATTAAATTAGACTCGAACTGTACATTTTATTCGAAAGATAATCTATTAATCGATTAGGTACCGATTTAGGGCATTGTGGGGGTGCTAATCCTTCCCCACACGTAACCGACTCTCGAACTCAAATATTGGTAACGTAGACTCTTTGAACTGTACGTTTTATTTTTAAAAAATCCAAAAAAATTAAACGAGAGATTTTTTAAAACCACGTTCACTTTTCACAAAGAGAATAATTAAAAATTGGTGTGGTTTTTAAAATTTAATCTGGTAAAAGACCATTTCGATAGCTTGGCGACTCCGTTGGGGATTTTTTAGAGAGTCAAGCCATTAGTCGATTAATAAATTGTTTTTGCAAATAAACTTACAATTTCGTTCTAATTTGGTTTTTGATCCCTTGTTTGGTTTTAAATAAGTTTTGTTTTCATTTTGACTCTTAATTTGTTTAAACACTAAATAGTTGTACTAATTTATTTGATAATGTTTTCAGATTAAATAATTGTTCAGGGTCTTAAGTTTTCTGTTCAGTGTTGTTTGCTTTGTTTTTGCTTTTCCTCACACACTGCACAACTGCATTTGCATAACATGAGCTAAAACTCCACTCTGTCCTATATAAGTAGCAGTAAGTAACTACTCCCTAGTGTGGTTTTCACCTCCGTGAGGGATAGTGAAACGCTCCTTGGGCTCACACCTTATGATCCTCGTGAGGTTTTTACCTCCGCAATGACATAAGGAAGTGTGTCCCCTCGAATTGAACTCGATCCGAAAGCCTGTGATGGGACAGGATTGAGGGTTCGATAGCCCAAGGGGGTACGATAAAGGACAATTCGAGGACCCCTTACTTTAGAACCAAACCCAGCATGTAGTAAACTTAGAACCCAGATACGAGCTTACTCAGACCATATGATCCTGTAAAGAGAGTACACAATGAAAAGCATGTTGCGTGTTTTAATTTACTTAATATTACTTTATTTTAAAAACAAATGTATGCGAACTAGAAATCATGCGGTTAGGTTTATTTTTCCATACAAAGCATGGAACTTGAAAACCCTTTGAAAACACATACAAAAGTCAAACAAATTAAAAAAGCCTATCAAACAATTGATTTATTTTACCAATATTTAATGAGAATAAGGATATTCAATTAATTAAATATCTCGAGACGAGACCATAGATTCAATTCTTTTCTCAGTGAATTTAATTAGAAGACTATGATATTTTCCTCAATCCCCGAATTTTAAAAAATAGATTCGATTTAATTGGTGTTACTTGATGGGATATACTTTCATTTTAAAATTATCGAAAGTAATTTTATTATACGTTAAGATAGTCACTATATAACAATATTAAAATGTTTGAATATTACACTTAATCAATTTATTTTGAATCGAGTCCAGTTATGCTGATGAGGATATCATATAAGAATTATTATAACTAAAATGAATTATTATGCAAACAATATGCAAAAATTAAAATTGAAATAAAAGTAAGACTAAAACATAAATAATCAACAATAAGCCTTGCAATCAAATAGATAAAATGGATCTTTGAGAATTAAAGTGATGGCCAAATTAAATATTCCCTAATTTAAAAGTTCATGGACTAATTCTAAAGAGATATTAAATTTACAAATTAAACTAACTCGAGCAACCTAAATTCAATGTTAAGTTAGACCAGTAAAATTATAATTTAGTATATAATAGGAGTAAAAAACATCAAACTTAAAGTTAATTGATTAAATTAATTTAAACAAAAAAAAAAGTGGAATTCAATCAAATATATGACAAAATTTAATAAACATGGGCAAAAGTTAGTGAAATACATTTTAAAGTGGAACATCCATAATTATAATGCCCTTTTTAAAAAACAAAAATTAATGTGATTATAATTAATAAAAAACGTGGGAACATAATAAAATTTGGCAAAAATTAATAAACATGGGCAAAAGTTAGTGGAGAGTCCACAATAATAGTGCTCCACCTTTCTATTTTTTATTATTACTTTTAATAATGGTAGCACTTTATTATTATTTTAATTATTCAATATTTTATTTTATTTTAAACACTACTAGATTTAAAATATTTAAACATAAAAGGTAAAAAAATAAAATTAAATAAAATTAAATAATAACCAAAATAATAATATAGGATTAAATAATAAGATATCAATTATTGGTCATAATTCGAAATATTACAAAAATATAAATACTAGTAGTCTAATTTATCCTTAATTATTAATCAGTTATTAATATATAAAATATTATAATTAAAAGGACAAAATATGATATTTACCCTAAATATATGTAAATATGTGGGTAGTGACTAAAATAAAAATAAATAAAATGCGAAGACAAAATTAAAAGATATAGAAACCTGATTTCGGTAATTATAATGGAAGATTATAAAATACAGGGACTGTGGACAGGGTTAAACCAACCCTAAAAATTATACAGACACTCCATTCCCAAAACGACGTAGTTTTGAGGAGGGTATAAATAGGTCTTAAATGGCCATTTTCCTCATTCCTTCTCTCTCTAAAGAGAGAGAAACTCTCCGTTCTCTCTAAAGAGAGAGAAGCTCTCCGTTCTCTCTAAACTCCCTCACCGGAGGAATCTTCGATCACCGACTGACCACCAGCTGGTCACTATTCTGGCCACCGTCGATCACTATTCACCGCCGTCGGTTACTATTCCAATCACTATTCACGACCGGAAAAAATCAAAATATCTCAAAATGTAGATTTATTAACCCTCTACCTGAATCCGAGTTTCTTTTTCTCTAAAAGCTAATCAATTGGACTAAATCTGAAATTTTACATTCGGTTAACGATGGTTTCCGACGATATTTGAGCTCCTCGGTAAGTCTTCTTTCTCTTCCTTTCCTTTCGGTTTTGTTTGTTTTTTTCTGTTTTTTTTTTCATTTTCTTCCTCTCGTATGGATGCTTCCTTTTTTCTTCCTCTTTACAGGTTCGTCAAGGCTTTTTATAGGCATTGGACAACCGTTCATTTTGGTGAGTCATCAGATCTACGATGGTTACTCACCTTAGCTTCGATGAGTTGTGTGGTTCTCTTTGTTCTTATGGAGCCTTCAGTGCGACGATGACGTCATGGCAGTAGCAAGTTGGAGGGAGCAGTTGGAGCCGGCGCCGGAATAGCTCTAAGATTGGTGAACCCTAGGATTCCTGCTAGAAAATATCTGGACTGTTGGATCTATCCAGATCTAACGGTTGAGAATGATGGTTGAAGATGTTGAAAAAAAATCGGGTTTGGGTCGTCTGGCTTAAACCGGGTCTGGGCCTAGACCGGGTTGAACATGTAAAATGGGCTCCGGTTCATATTTGTAATACTGGGCTTCGCTAAGCTTGTTGTAATCTGTAAAATAATAATATTAATAAATTATTATTTTTATTGTTAATAATACTAATATATTATAATATAATATAATAATATTATTAGTAATATCGAAAAATAAGTGTCGACAACTGCCCCTCTTTGTTATATTCTTGTGTTAACAAGAATAGGGAAAAGACGAAAAGACAATACATTTTTTGTCCAGTGAATCTCAAGGTTTGAAATATGATTAAGAAATTTGTTCCGCTGTTACTCATGAAAGATTGAATCGAGGTAGATTTTATTCCACTAGCACTCAGGGAATATCAAATATTGGAAGATAGGGATCTGTTCCGCTTCTTCTTGAAGCAAATATCAGATCTAGAAGGAGTTTGATCCATTGAATTGGGGCAGACTTGTTCCACTTACTCTGAAGGGAATATCAAATCTGGAAAATAGAAATTTATTCTGCTTACTCTGAAGGGAATATTAGATCTGAAGGAATTTGATCCATTGAATTGGGGAAAACTTGTTCTACTTACTCTGAAGGGAATATCAAATCTTGGAAGATAGGGAGATCTGTTCCGCTTACTCTGAAGGGAATATCATATCTGAAAAGTTTGATCCATTGAATCGGGGCAAACTTGTTCCACTTTCTCTGAAGGGAATATCAAATCTTGGAAGATATGGAGATCTGTTTCGCTTACTCTGAAGGGAATATCAGATCTTGGGGAAAAGAGATTTGTTCTGCTTACTCTGAAGGGAATATCAAATCTTGGAAAAGAGAGATTTGTTCCGCTTACTCTGAAGGGAATATCATATCTTGGAAAAGAGAGATATGTTCTGCTTACTCTGAAGGGAATATCAGATCTGAAGGAATTTGATCCATTGAATTAGGGCATACTTGTTTCACTTACTCTGAAGGGAATATCAAATCTTGGAAAAGAGAGATTTGTTCTGCTTACTCCGAAGGGAATATCAAATCTTGGAGAAGAGA